TATCACTAGAAAGGAGAATTATAAGAAAGCACTGAAACCCCACAATCCTTTCATTAAGGATGGAGAAAGGGACGGAAAATTAACCAACATGTTTTAAAATACTGCTGTATAATTTCAAAAGCCTCAGTTATAAAAAATTATTAATGTGGGCTTTAATATAACTGTTGACTTTCATATTATATAAACACTTCATGAAAAGTTAAGTCAGTGCCTAAGTGTTTTTTCTAATCAAATCTGACTGTGGTTTTTAAAACTTTTTTTCTTTTTCCATTGCATTTCAGTTTACCCTTACCTTTCTCTCTGACTTATTTTGGTTTCTTGCCCTCAAGATTAGAAAATAATTTTGTGTTGTTTACTAACTCTTTGTTCAGTTACTTGCAAGAAACCTGTTCCACAATATAAAGCATGAATCATTGTGGAACTTCACACCGGTGTTATGATACCTTCATTACAGTCCCATTTCAGTTTGACTGGGAAAGAATACCAAATTTTGTTGCTTTTTATGTTTGGCTTTGAGGCTAACACAAAGACAGTTAACAAAATCATTTATTTATCCTAAAAGCTAGTTCCATTTTATAAGTCAGTTACTGAATGCTTCTAGGCTTTTCAGTTAGGATTAAACATAAATTGTAACAAAATCTAAGCCCATTTAACAGTGCATCAGAGGAAGTACAGAGTTCATATTTCTTGAGGGTCTGGGGGGTAGGCAGGGAAGTCATTGTTCATAATGCTTGCGATTAGTTTCTCTGGCTTCTTTCAGTTTAACACAGTCCTGATAGTGCCCCTGCGAGCAGCTAAGTGCAAAGTCAAATCAATGAAAGCAATACATACTAGTCAAAGAAATATCATGGTCTGTCACAGTTCAGCTGTGTCTTTGGAAGAATTTCTTCGTTACAGCATGCTTAATTTCTTTATTTTTGTTTTAAAATGTGTCACACTAGGAGCAAATTAGAGCAGGTAAGCCAGAAGCAGAACTGTGTTTTGAAGAAGAAAACAGCATCTTGGTGCTTCAGCTCTGCCACCTCCTTCAACCCAATGCAGAGGTTCAGTGGCACCACAGCTCATTTCCACTTAACAACATTCACGTGGGAGGGATTAAACCACAAATGTAGAAAAGCACCTCTTATCCAAGATGGCAAAAAAGGGAGGACAGACTTGTTCTTTGGGTTACTGCACTGGTATTTACAGGCTGTGTGCTCCTGTTAGGATACAGTGGGTCAGTGAGCTTGTTTATGCCATGAGATGTGTGAAGGTGGTAGTGTGCAATTGCATTAGTGGCCATAGTGCTCATTCCAACTGTATAGCCTTTGTGCTCCAAGGAAGATATTTTCAGGATTGTCTGGAAAAAAAAAAAAGGGTATTAAACTGATAAGTGTGATTCAACCTGAAGTAAGCATACATACAAGGCACGGGGACACCCTGTTTGTTCCAGTGCACACAGTAATAGATAGCATAATGGCAGCTCCTGGAGGGGGTGGGGAAGCTGAAATTCTGCAATATTTGAGATTTATGCAATAGAGAAAAATGTGCAGTATTAGGAGTGTATGTATTTGCCAGGTGTTAGCATGTCAAACCTAAGTATCCCTTTCAGAATGCTGGATAAAAGAAAGAACCTCTGTCTGGATCTGCACCCATCTGCACTTTAATAGAATAAACTATGGGGAATTCACTATTAATGGTGCCTTGCATCAGAGAAGGAAAGCTTCCCCATCAGTGTTTCAGCTGCATTTGTGATTTGGTACAATGAAGGTACCAAGGCAATTATCAAAGAATATCCAATATGCTCTGAAGTTAAGATTCCTTTGTCCTTATTTCTTGCAATTTTTTCCCCTGCTGATAATCTTAGAAGGTATCAAATTCAAATAAACAGAGAAAGAGGGGGAGAGAGGGGCCTGCTAAGTACTAGGCTCTCATAACAAGATTATAATATGCAGAAGTGTTACTTACCATATCCTGCAATATTCACTGCCACTTCTAGGAGATCAGTGTAAGGCAGATAAAAATAAATACGTTTTTGCATAGCAGGTAGGGAACTTGGAGAATTCATTGCTGCAGAAGGCTGGGTTGACAGACAGTATAAGCAGATTCCAAAAGATGTTAGAGACACTCATAGGCAACAGGTCTAAATACTAAGTAGATACAAAAGAGGACAAGAGATGTGCTCTCCAGCATCCCTGACAGAGTGATCCTGGATGGTGACAGTGTGCAGGATGAGTAGACCACAGAAAATGGCCCCACTCACACACTTTCCTTAAACAGCCATTGCCTTGATGCTGACCACAGCAGCATGATGGCCTGGGTGCATGAGCATGTCTAATGTTTTTTGCTCACTTCTGCCTAACTAGTGAATTGTTTAGAACAGAGTGTCTCAAAGCTTCCCAGCAATGCAGGCAAATTTTAATTTTGTGTCTGTGACAGAACTGCTGCTTTAGGCACTATCGTGCCTGAGAGCGGTGAGATGGAGTGAGAGCTGTGCCCAGCCACCAGGATGTGTCAGCTGTGAGCCTACAGCCCAGGAATTGCTCTGCTGCTCCTCAAATACAGCACAGGATGGCTTAATATTAATGGTTAATTAGAAGGTTCCCTGATTCCCAGAGTGTGCAGATCTTCCTCTCTCCAAGCCATGGTTTTTCTACCACCCATCATTTTGCAGCCATAGCTAAGTGCTCCATGTAAGACTGGAGTTGGTTTATTACAATGTGACAAAGCTCCCTGAATAATTTATATCTAAGGCTCCATTTCATACTTATTTGTTATCCTATGGGTTTTCCCCTAGGATATGCCATCTAGTTTCAATTTAAAATGGAAGTTCCATAAATTACCACTGCACAGAAGTTGCTTTAACACGCCATTTATGCAGGTAATGGTGCACATTGTAGCAGAAGTGTTTCAGAGTTTCCACTCCTGGGACTGCATTCACAATAAGCTGGTAAATGGGAAACAATGAGGAATTTGCTAGAAAATTGAACAAATCCACCTTAACATATCAAAGCAAATCGCACTTTAATGTTGTGAACCCTGTAGGGCAATGTTTCTGCCACAGCATGGACATCTAGATTCCCTGTTCACATTAAGCAGAAAGAAAGTGTGTATACTGTGTGTCATGTGTTTTAGATAGACATGAGGAAGAGTATTGAGACATATTTACAGTGTGGTATAAATAAGACCCATTACACAGTTCTTAATCCTTGCTTTATTTTCTGGCTACATCATTTTCTGAAAAAAAAATCGTAACTTCAGAGAATAGCCAGCCTAAGTAATAAGGTCAACGATGTTTTAACAGCATGTCATCCAAATATTACTAAATTTTGTATAAACCTGATATGTTTCAGGATACATGGAAGTTATTGTATTTTTACTTAAAAGACTAATATGGATTGTATAGCAGTAGGTGCATTTCATAAAAATTTCCTTTGTTTACATGTTGTGCCTAACTTAAAAGAAAATAATGTCATTGCAGTCATTAGGAATATTTTTCTGTGCATGAGGCCACATTTTGTCTAAATATGTCTCCTTAAATATTTAGGTTTAATTCTTAGATTTAACACTTATATAATAGGATTTAAACTCCTGGTTCAGATTAATGAAATTAAGTATTTCTTGAGCAAGACTAGTGACTAATTTGGCAACTGCTAATTTTATGACAGTGTATTACATTTTGGTTTATTACTTAGTCATATGACTGGGTATTTCTATAGGAAAATCTAATGTAATATTCTCCTACCAAATATATATGCCAATCTAGAACAGCTTCTGACTGAAATTGTTTAAGTAGTGTACCCAAAAGAATGAGATTTATATTTGGGTTATAGTGTACAAATCTACCAGCTACAAGTAAGATTGCATTGAATCTTCAGGCTGTATATACCTTGCCTAAGTGAAAAGCGTCTAAGGGCCTGAGGTGCTCTGTCTGTTTGTGAGACAGACAGGATTCAGTACACCGACCTTTCATTCCTAGTCACAGACCTGTCTTTCTGGTGATTTCCCTCATTTAACTTTGAAAGTACATCTTGTTACGTGTAAGTAAATACTGCATACCTGTAATGAATACATTCTGCTGTGTTAGACAAATCTCATGACCTGTGGAGCTTCCTGAGGGTCTTTAGAAAAAAGTCAGGTATCACTTGCAGTGGGAAGGTATATGTGAATCTGCAGGATGGTCAGTTCCCTTCTCTGTGGTCCCCTTAACTTGCCTAGGGGCTTATCACTGCCAGTGTGTTGCCTTTGCCTATTTGATGCAAGTGCATGAGGTACAAGAGGAAAGGTTTCACAAAAGAAGAAACTCCAGGATTTTAAGTTAAATCTCACATTGCTTGTGATAATATGTGTAGCAAGCAATTATTTGAGGGAAGGATGCAGAAAGAGTAGCAAAAGGGATAGGCTGGTGACACAATGCGGCAACAGAAACAAATTTAGATTGTGTGTAAGATGTGCTGCTTTCAGAATGATATTCCTGGTTCAGGAAAAACACTTGTTGCATGCAAGTGCACTTGTGAATGTGAATGGCCTAAATAATTTGAGAATACATTTACAAACCACTTGCATCTACCTCAGCCTGCTTGCATGATTTCTGAGGCCTGTCAGCCACACAGAACCATACTGCTCATCACACAAATGGAAAGCTGTTTCACTTAGCTTGTCAAGCACCTTGCCAAACTGTGGGCCCTGAAACCTCATGAGAACTATCTTTTAATTTGGTAAGATCTTAGGCTGTTCCAGTACCATTCTGTTTTCATTTTTATTTCTCTTCTTTTCTCTGCTTGTTCTTTCACTTTCTTTAGTAGTTCGCTCAGGGTGATGAGGTTGTAATAGTGACAGTTCATTTTATCCAGTAATTCAAATGGTCATTGAATATTCTTGGGTGTTAGGTTACTATTCCTAAGTTTCTGATGCTACTATTTCTGATGTATATATGTATGTATATATACATATATATATGCATATATATATATATGTATAATTCTTGTATCTAAATAAATGCATTGCTTTGAATCCAACAGGCCAGAACCAGTACTGTGGACAAAGGATGGTGGAGAGCTACCAGATCCAGAGAGAATGGTTGTCAATGGCAGGGGGCTAAGCATCAGTTTCCTAAACAAAACAGACAATGGGACATACAGATGTGAAGCAAAAAATCCTATTGGTCGAAACAGCACAGAATATGTTCTAATAGTACATGGTGAGTGTGTTCTCATTAATGCATATTATGCCTAACTTATCAAGCTGATGTATTTGCTTATGATCACTATGGAAAGAATAGCAAGAAATAGTTGGAATTGCACTTTTATTGGTGCTATGATCTAGTTGTAGGCAGTGTATTGTCTTTTATTGGCATGCCTCTCTTCATACAGTTTAAACTAAATATATTCTCTTTGGAACTTTTTGCTAAGTAAGTGCCTGGAAAAATGTTTTGTAGAGTGTTGGTAGTGTTTTATAAATACTTGCCTCAGGCCTACAATGTTCAGGTAATGCTGATTACAAAAGGTTCTATGAAGAGAAATACTGGACAGATGAGTGCTTGACATTTTATTTTTATAGACTACCAAAGACAGGACATCAGATACTTCACACAAGTTAGCCTGCTACTGAGAAAATTCAGTTGATTTTTTTTCGTTAATTAGACAACAATATGTGTCATGTGAAAAGAATGGCTGCCTTCTACATTGATCATGAAATAGATTGATATAGCTCAGGTATAGGAGAAACTACAATACAAAATTAGCATTTTCCTTTAATATTACCTTGAAATATGGATCTAGCAGTCTCAAAAAATTATGTCCTCTTATCACAGATGTGTATGTGATAGTTTATGGAAGATTGTGATTTCCATAATCTGAATTTATTCTAAGTGAATATAGTGGTGAAAGCTCTGCTATAGCTCATGATGATACTTTTTATTTCCTCTAAATTTAAAAAAAATGCAACTTCTTATAACAATGCCAAAATAAGTTGAAAAAATATAATGCAAATCTGTAAATAGACATGAGAGTTGTGTAGATTTTATTTGTTCTTTATGAATTCAGTTATAACAAATATGCATTTCTTTGATAGTTGGAAAGTCTTAGGTTTAACCTGCCTTTAGGTATCTAGCAGAAAACTCCTAATACGTGCTGCTTTCAGTAATGAGCTATTTATTGGCACTGTTGATGAAATGTCATTTATCAAAAGAAACCCTTAGATTACTTTTCATTTTTCTTGAAGTTCACTATTAGTTTATGTAGGATTAGTGACACAAATAAGGAGGAGGTCTTTGCATGAGGAACACAGAGCCTGTACTGCTGCATGACTAAGTCTTTATTAAAGACAAGCAGAAGAACTGAACCCTCTAACCTCTACTTACACTGATTACTGCAAGAGAAAAACCAAAAATGTCTTTTATATCCTGGAGGTGGTGGTGTATTGGTTGTTGACTGCAGGCACAAAGTGCACTGCCTTTGATGAGTTAATGGCTTCAGTGCTTACCATATGTTGAAACTTATGTCATTTGTGTTTTCTGTCCAATTTATTTGGGTGATTTTTTTCTGAAAATATGGCCTTTTATAAAGGTAGATTTTTCCATCAGTGGTGACTTTGCAATATACCTCTATCAAAGAATATTTCACCATTTCCTATGTGTCTTTCTCTTAGTGGCATGCGCCCTGTTGATCTGATTATCTTGCAGCAACTTCATGGCAGTCTGTAAAATCATTCAGTATCTGAGAAGCATTCTGTTATGTTTGGCAGCACATTAGAGGTGTCATCAGGTTTAGCTTGCTCATTGCTGACCTTTTGTGTTATGAGTACCAGAGTTTTCCTAATTGCATTTCTGCAATTCGAGTGTTGGAACTAGAGAAGGCAAATGTCAGGTGCTTCTGAGGCTTCTGAAACAATGAGAATAATGTGACAGAGTATGAGATGATGTTTAGTGCTTAACAACTTACTGCATTTCAGAGTTAAGTTTATTTCAAATACAGAGGAGACTGACACAATTATTTTATCAAGTGTAGCACAATCAGTTGTATAGATCAATTTAAGCAGCCTTACCTCTTACTTAGCTCATTGCATTCATGAGTATCCCTAGTGAAACCTAATCCTCCCAAAACTATACAGTATTTTCTTTCTCTCTGGGGGCTAGAAAACCTACTTGTTATCATTTTCTGAGATGCATCCTTCCATTTAATAATGGAAGTATTTTTTTTAATCTTCCTAAATATATCTGGGAGTATCCTTTGATTTCTCATCCCTTCTCCTGTGCTTAATGTGTTGATCTAATTTTTTTTTTGTCCTACTCCTTTGTTAGAGCTGATGTATCTTATCTTGAATGTTAGGTTTCTAATACAAGCATGTGTCAGATTTAGCATAAGTAGAGTTATGTTCACAAAAATGTGAGAGAGTGGAGGAATCTGCATGAAGAGAGAATTTCTTTACAAGAGATTCTTTTAATTTGCAGGTTAAGGAAGTAAGGTCTAGGAAAAGTGATCTACCAGATCTGTAAGCAGTAAGGCATAAGTGCTCTCAGTGCTAGCAGCTGATGCCTTAATGGAGCCTCTGGAAGTCCAACTCCACAGTTGTTAAACAACTAATAGTTTTCCTAGGAAGCTTTTGAGCCTGAAGGAGTTGCAGGAGAGAAAGAATGACAATCACATGCCCAAGTTCAGAGAGGTACTATGGCCAATTCAGTTTTTCCATGTGACCTTGTGTGAGGAAACATGGGACATTAGTGAATTATATCTTCTGCAGAGGCAAGGGAGTGAAACCTGGCTCACAGCTTTTCTTTTCTTATGTGTACTGCGATTTACACTACATTTTTTCTTTGGGGTTTTTTTCACTTCTACTTCAACAGATTTTCTGTCTTTATAGATATATATATATGTTTTTGTTGGTTTTGTTAATATGTAAAGGCTTCATCTGACTTCTATTCCTTTCCCTATGAATTCCCCCTCTCAGTGGTACTCAGTCTACTAATTCTCTCAATTTCTAAAGTTATCTTCCTAACTTAGAGAAGATTTAGACAGTTTTAGTGTAGAGAGAAGATTGTCTAAAAATGGAAGGTATAATTACAAGTAAAGTATTTATGCATATTAATTATACAAGCCAAGCAAAGACTGTCTCATGCCTTTAACTGGACTAACCTAGACACAAAATTATACAGAAAAGTAGTATTGTTTTCCACTGTAAATGATGATGAGGTAATACTGGTTTGATGTTAAGTGATGGCAGTGGAAATAAATACTGCTATAAGCAGATGAATGGCAATCTGTCCAATACAATTAGTATCTGGTAACATAAAAAGTCTTTTTAGATTTGTAGTATAATTAAAGAAATCAGACTTCAGAGAAATTGAATCTATTTGAATAAGGTTAAAGGCATGGGATATTAAATATGCTCATGATTCTTTGCTGAATCAATATGACCGCTAATATCATTTTTTCTTAACATCTATTGTTAATATTAAATGTCAAAAATACTTTGTGAAGCAGGAAGGTGGGCATAGAGTCAGAGATTATAGGCAGAAGTACAAAGGCAAGACATATTTTGCACAAACATTTGTCTTACACAGTTAAAAAGGCACACGCTTTAATGCCTGTAGCTGTTGTCATTTCTGTATTCTAATTGGCAAGCTTAGTGCTTTAGAAGTGCACATTCTGGCTAGATATATTACACCCTTTCTTTGGTAATGGGCCCCAGGCAATTTTCACTCTCTTCCAATTTATTAAGAATTTTTTGTTTACCTTTGTCCAAATACTAGTCATTAATCATCAGCAAACATCGAACTGTCAAACTTACGTAGCTCACCTCGAAAACATAGATTCTACTTGAAAAGCTTAGGCAATGACTGCACTGACTGAGCTGGAGCTGAGGAAGGAGGTGGTCCATCATAATCAAGCTGAAGACACAGCTGTTATGTATGTAGTAGTAGTTCATAACCTCCGGATGTCACTACTGAGGACTTAGTTCTACATCACATTGGAGAGAGGGACAGAAGTCTACATCACTGAGAAACCTTCTTAATGGAAACATCAGCATTTGATAATTTGCAGACCTCTTTGAAATCAAGTACCTCAGTGAAATATCCTGATGTGCCAATCTACAGACACACATTAAATTAATTGAAATATTCAGAGCTATAATGTGTTGTGTAGCAATTATCTAGAAGAGCAATATGGAAATTAATATGAATCAGCAGCTGTGGATGGTCAAGGCAGTTCTTATTGCCCTAATTATACATACAGTAGAAAGCATTTGAGACAGAGTACTTAGTATCTCTGGAGAATAAAAAGTGGCATAATATATTTCTTTGTCTTCAGCCTCTCTATTTTGTATTTTTGTCTTGGGCAAGCTATTTTTTGCAAATAAAGGAAACTGAAAGACTGAGTTACATCCTCATTAGTATTTCAAAATACTGCACTTTCAAATAGATCTCCTACAATGTAGAAGACCAAAGGTCCCACTGCACCTTTTCTAACTAGTCCATTATTTATATTCCACCTGCTTGTCCAGTTCCATTTCAAAACATTTGTCATGTTATCTTTCACAGTAACCTGTGGCAACAAGTTCCTGAATTGAGTTTTGTGCTCTGAGGGAAAAGTATTCTCTTTTGTTTGTTTAAGCCTGCTGCTTGATCTCTTCACTTCCCAACTTTACAAGCTCTTTGGCCTCTTTTGCTGTTTGCACTGCAAGTATGCAGTTAAAATTGGTTTTATATTTGTGCTTGTTTCCCTTCAATAGATTCTCAAGTATTTCTACCTCAGTCTCAATTTCTCATAAACTGTCATCTTAAACTCCGCATTTCCTGGATTCCTGGCCCTTGTATCCACTCTCCTTCTCTCATGGTCTTTTTTTTTCACCTTATTTCTTAATTTTTGGTCTATTTGTAAATCTCTGTGACTGACTGCCCTCCACACCTGGAACAGCACTATGCCAAATTGGCACCAGACACCTTAGTTTATTAAATCCTACCTCCAAATACATTTATAGAGGTTCACCTTCTGTGGCCACCCACAATTCCAGCACCATGCACTTTTATATCCACACATGTTTCTTTCAAAATCAGTAGAAATCCTGTGGAATCCAAAACACATATGAAATTAAACAAACTCTATTACCTCCATCTGTTTTAGATTTCTTTATCTTAGTCAGTTCATTTGCCCACTATGAGAATTTTATTACATTTCATTTCTGTTGTGATGTCCTCACAGG